CATTGGCGCAATCTCTGAGGCTACGCTTCGCAGATGGCAGGCAGGATACTAGAATCGGCAAAACTATGGGCGTCAAATGCTCCATCAGCTCCAAAACAGGGCACATTCATATGACTAGGGACTTCCACGTTGGACCTGTTCACCACAACATAATCCTAGGCATGCGGTGAGTGACCCAGTGGAAGGCGCAAATGCGTTCCTCTGATGTTGCCATAGAGGCCATTCCGCCTGGAAGTGATGAGAGAGTGCACCTCTCAGCGCTCCCAACGGCATTTGCATTCTCTATGGTTCAAGGTGTGGAGACTGTGTCCGAAGAAAAGGGGAGCGACAAGGCTCCCTCACTATGCGGAGGCACTGAAGAGACTAATGAAGATACGCACGCACTCCGTCGTGATGCTCTGGTAAAGACCGCAGTTTTGGGGGAATAGGTGAGGAGTCTTCGTCGTTGCAAGACATCTCAATACAACAGCAGCAGAACATCTGTTGAGAACATCTCATTCCAGCGGCAACATAACACCGGTCACTGCGGCTGCGCAGCTGCCTAGAGTACCAAACACAACCGTAATTCAGCGAGTACACATTCGCCTCATTCACGACTTCCTGCGGCCAATCGCTGAGGGATGGGTGGTGATATACATGGATGATGTGCTTGTGTTCAGCCGAAATGTGCAGGAACACCTGCAGCACCTCCGGCGGCCGCTGCAACTACCACGTGAGAAGCAGTGGTTCGTGAAAGCGCAGAAGTGTTCATTTTTCATGCAAACAATCAGTCTTTTAGGATTTCGTGTCTCTGCAGCAGGGGTTGAACCAGATCCGGCTAAGATCGAAGCGATTCAGCTGTGGCCGCTACCGCTTTACACGCGGACGGACGTTCAGAAGTTCCTCGGGCTCGCCTCATACTATCGCAACTTCATTCCTGGATTCGCTCGCATTGCTGCCCCTCTAACTGATCTTCTCAAGAAGGAGAAGCAGTTTATTTGGATGGAGAACGAGGATGAAGCCGCCCGACGCCTCATCGGGAACCTGACATCATCCCCAGTACTCGCGCTCCCTGATTTTGGTAAACCCTTTTTCATTACGACCGATGCCAGTGACACTGCAGTAAGGGTTATGCTCTCTCAGCAGGCTATT